AACCAGTTTATCTGGTCTATAGCCCCCTTTTCTGGTCGACAGCCCACCAGAAGGTCCCCATGTTGGAGCAGAAGCAATTTGGAAGTAAGTGCACTTTTCAGAGATCAAATCAAGTGCAAACAGAGGCAATTGGTGGCATAGCAATGGATTTCCAAGCGAGGCGATCGAGCATGCATGCATCTCCTGTCTCGAGGCCTTCTAACTGTTTTGCTTAGCTAAGTTAGCTTAGTTGTTTTTGTAATTGATTAATTAATATGCTTAATTAATAGATTTGTTTTGTAATAATTAGTTAACTAGGAATAGTTAATTAGTTTTGGTTTGTAATAATTAGTTTAATTAGCGTAGCTAGTTAGCTTATTATTCAGACCCTCCGTCGAGAAGGCAAATGTTGTAATAAGTGTGCGTGTGTGTGATGCATGTCTTCCAACCCCATTTCTTTCTCCCTTTTACTTATCAGCTTTCGATAGTTAGTTTGGGGCATGTTTCAATTAGCATACTTATGCTTTGCATGCGTGCATCATTCATTCGTCTTGCATGCACCAGGCTCGGCGCATTATACAAACCGCATTGTATTTCAATACTTACTCGAATACGTGTTTCAAAACATGTTATCGAGTGTTGCATTCATATGCCATCTTAGCCAGCCGAGCCTATTTTAGTTGCATTTTTGCATATGTTGCATTAGGCATTGTTAACATAGCTGGGATCATGCATTGATTACTAACTAGCTTTTTTTTGCTCGGAGTACACTGTGAGTGTTTATGCTTTAGCATCCTTGCATGTGTGTAAGTGACTGCCATGATAGCATGCTTGCCATGAGGCTATTTGCTTCGGTGTTAAATTGCATGAATGCCTGTGGATGAAGGCTTCATTGCTTGAATTGGAACAATTCATCAAAATGTGAGTTTTAAGCCCACTTTGCGGAGTGACAAATCATATTTTCAAGCCCACTCGAGGGTGGCAAATCCGCGCTTTAGCCTACTTGCGAGTAGCACTTTTAAACCACTTTAAAAAACAAACATGAGTTGTTTTGTTCCAATCCGCGTGATTGAGTCTATACTTGTGTGCTGTGCGCATCACATAGTAAGTTAGCCAATAAACCGGAATTAGAACGCATGTGTTTTCAAAAATAACATATCATGTTAGTAGAGGCCGATCTTTGATCGGGCAAGCGGGGGTGCTCATATCAGGACCTTTCCCTCCCGTACCCAATTTACCGAGCCGAGGCAACTTTGGTGATGACGGACACGTGGCCTTAGGCACGAGTCAGGGTTTCCTAAATTTTCCAAAACAAAATATTTAGGTGGCGACTCTGAAATCTGGCAAAGCAGTCCATGTTTGACGCTTTTTGATTAAAATCGATTTTTCAAAACGATTTGCCAGATTTGGACTCTTTGG